TTTACTTTTATTTTTCTTCTTTCACGTTTGCTTCTTAACACGCATGACATATATATCCTGCTTGCTCTGTTCAACGGATATCGTTTATTTAATTTGATTGGTTTAATTGGTATTGCAGGAGCAGCAGCAGCAGCAAACGCTTGCAGAAAGTACAGGGCAGCAGAGCAGCAGTAGTAGTTGCGATAGTGGGATAAGTTGGTTTTTTCCGGATTTGCATCGCTCGAACACGGATCCAGGACAATTTGCTGCGTGTGTGGATGATCCCGTTTCGAATTCGGATTGTCCCCATCCTCGTGATTCAGGCCTCGCTCCTGACCCAGGCTGTTTGGCTCCGAATGTGAGTAGACCATCTCTTGGTCCAAGCCGTTTTACGCTGAATCCAGCTCCTGCGGTCCTGAATCCAGATCGTCTTATTCCAGTCCAACTTCCCATACAGCAGGTCTGTTTTTTTTTCGTATTTGGCCAGACGCGCTTAAAAAAACTTTCGCGTTTCCAGTCACGCACGAACACGTGGAATTTGACGTAAAGCGGTGCATCATCACACTTTGTGAGATTTGAACGTTTCAAATCTGGTGAGAGGGGGTGTGTCGTGTCAAACACGAAGAATGATAGGTAAAATTTCTTCTAGAATGTTTCGTGTTGTTCGTGTGCTTATAAAAAATCTGCACGAGGATGGAGAAGGAGCAGAGGCCTCTGTGATAGGAAAAACATTTATTCCTGAAAGAAGAGGTGCTGGGATACGGCGGACTGAGAGAAGGCGGCGACTTCGAAAAGCGAATTGAGCGAGGAGAAGAGGATTACGTGCAAACTTCGGAAGCCGACAGCTGCAAGATCCGTTGGAGTGCATAGGCTCTGGTATTTATACTCGTTGAATTAATTTAACGTTGTGTTCTTGGGTTTGGTGTATTAAAATAAGAAATTGAGCACTTTGCTTCAAGCACAGCTATTTAATCATAGGCGCAAATCAAATGACCAACAGGGCGAGCACTCATTCACTTCAGGAAGCATCACTTTTCTTTATTTTTATCTCTAGAAAAAACGCATTGTTCGGCTAATTGAAGACTTGAAGGCACACAACCGTCTGCTGGATATCCCCCATTTTTTATCGTTTTATAGCTTCACTTTTTTAAAAATTTTAAAATTTTTGTTTCACCGATGCTCTTTGCTTCTTCAGATTGTCACCAGTGGTGGCGGTGGCGGCGGTTGCGCCAGTGCCAACAACAATTCCGCTCAGCCGATTTTATGCATTTTAACATCGCCAGCTATGCCTACAGCAATACCTCCCACTGTGCACTGTGGGATTGGCGATGGCCAACATACTACTACAGGCATGTCGACGAGAAATGATTATCAGGTATTTTTTTTGTGTGAAAAGTCAAAAAATCCCC